TAAAAAGAATACATTTGAATCAGTTCTAATGAGGTGGATGAAACTGGAGCCTATTATACAGAGTGAAGTAAGTCAGAAAGAAAAACACCAATACAGTATACTAATGCATATATATGGAATTTAGAAAGATGGTAATGATGACCCTATATGGGAGACAGCAAAAGAGACACAGATATATAGAACAGTCTTTTGGACTCTGTGGGAGAAGGCGAGGGTGGCATGATTTGAGAGAATAGCATTGAAACATGTAAATTATCATATGTGAAACAGATCATCAGTCCAGGTTCGATGCATGAGACAGGGTGCTCAGGGCTGGTGCACTGGGATGACCCTGAGGGATGGGATGGGGAGGGAGGTGAGAGGGGGGTTCAGGATGGGGAACACATGTACACCCATAGTGGATTCATGTCAATGTGTGGCAAAACCCACTACAATATTGTAAAGTAATCAGCCTCCAATCAAAATGAATAAATTAATTAAAAAATTAAAGAAAAATAAATAAATAAAGGAAGGTATTTGTCCTGTAATGTTAAGCATGGCTACATTGGAAGATAACGGGATGGTGGAGCTCTCAGAAAAACTTGGGGTTGGGGAACAGAGACACCATCTACTCTGGCTACTGTTACTGCCATAAGTAATAAATGGATTCTTATGATCCAGTGTTCTGTATGTATACAGGGATATACACAGTCTATTTCTGTAGTAGACTAACTTACTAATTTGGAAGTAGAGTAAAATCTCAGGCCTTCACAGTTTCAGTCCCCTGCAGGCTGCACCCCACGTGTGTGTGTTAGTCACTCAGTCCTGTCAGGCTCTTTGCAACCCCATGGACTGAACCCCATCAGGCTCTTCTGTCCATGGAATTCTCTAGGCAAGAATACTGGAGTGGGTTGCCACTTCCTACTCCAGGGGATCTTCCTGACCTGGGGATTGAACTGGGGCCTCCTGCACTGGAGGTGGATTCTTTACTGTGTGAGCCACAAGGGAAGCCCTGTGCATTCCACACGGTCATCTCTAAAACTTACCCCTAACCCAGCCCTTCCTTCAACAAGAATCTCACATGGCTGCCCAGCACCCTCTGCATCCAGTTCAAGTTCTTTGATTAAATCAACTTCCCAAGCTCTATACCGCTTCTTGAATTCAGATCCCAGAGGAGCCCACCTTGGTCAGCAGGAGTACGTCAATAAAGTCCAAAGTCTTGGTCTTCGCCTTGGCCTTGAGGAAGTCATCAATATTCTCCTTGGGGAGGGTGCGGCGCCGCTCCTGGATGACGATATCTGTGAAGTCGTGCACCAGGCGGCAGGCCCTGCGGAAGCGCCGCCCATCTGGGGTGAGGTAGTACAGGAAGTCCATGTGCAGGAAGAGCTGCTGATATCGTTTGGCCGCAAGCGCGCTGAGCTCCAAGATGGCCGCGATATAGTCACTGGGCTTCCTACAGGATGAGAGCATGAAAATGCAACAACGTCTGAAATAAACTTTGAACAGAACCCTCTTCTTCTCAAACACCTTCCATGGCTCTCTGGAAAGCTCAGGAGAAACTTCATATCCTCTTTGGTTTCAGAATGTCCTTAAGATATAAAGATGCCCATACCTCCATCCTTATTTCCAAGATGTCTCCTCACTATTGCACATACCTTGCTCTTCCTAGCCTCTGGGCCTTTATCAAACAGTTCTACCTACCTCAGAGGATGGCTTCTTCTCCTTCCCCTTCTTGTTCCTCAATGTCCAGATCTGACACACTTCCTCCAAGAAGACCTTTCTGGTTGTCCTGGTCAACCCTTCCTTACCCATCTACTCCATGGGTCTGTGGCTAGTGTTCCCCAGGCCCTTGAGACTCACTCTTGGCAATTGCTGTCATAACTGAAGACACATTTCTGCAGACTGTCCAGGGTCATGAGGCTGATGTGTTCAAACATGTCCAGATGGGTGTGGCCCTCTTTGATCAGACGCTGCCACTTGGCCTGGACAGAGAAGGGGACAGAGCTGAGGCTGAGAACTGCCTCCTTGGTGCCCTTTCCTAACCCCAGATACCAGGATGCACTCCCTGGACTCTGTCTCCTGGTCCCAGGCACCCACCCCCAGGGAGGACCAGGCTCACAGAGGAGTGAAAACTGTTACTATTAGGACATGAAGTCTCCATGACCGGGAGTCCGAAGATCTGGGTTCTGTAATCCTCACTCTACCTCCCAACTCTGTGTGCATGAGTGTGAGCTCGGTTACTCAGTCATGTCCGACTCTGTGTCTGAACTTTGGACTGTGCCCCCCCCCCCAGGGAGGACCAGGCTCACGGAGGAGTGAAAACTGTTACAATTAGGACATGAAGTCTCCATGACCGGGAGTCTGAAGATCTGGGTTCTGTAATCCTGACTCTACCTCCCAACTCTGTGTGCATGAGTGTGAGCTCGGTTACTCAGTCGTGTCTGACTCTGTGTCTGAACTTTGGACTGTGCCCCCCCCCCCCCCCCCNCATGCAGATCTCTTAGAAACTCTCAGTTTTTCTATAGAATCTTACCTTGTGATAGCATTTATGTTATCTTTCCTGCTATATATGAAATACACAGAATTTTTTTTTTTTTTTTGGTTTTGCCAAAAAATTGTAAGACCCCTATGTTCTTTACCTGGGCCATTTCTCAGAGCTGTGTTTGTAGCAAACAACCTTGAGAAGTGAGGTAATGTGTCCCCCTGGAAAATATCAAGCTTGCTTCTAACTGCTATAAATGTCACAGAGTTCCTAAACCTAATATTCCCTCCCCTGTGATATATGAGTAGACATCCATAGAAGCCCACCTGTGTTATTTGCATGAAATTTGGTGACTTGGATGAAGGATGCAAACCCACAAGAAGCATGTGTTGTTTGCTGGGCTAACTTTTGTCTATGACCCAGGAGTCTCACGTATTCTGGCAGAATCCAGGAAACAGTCACAAGCTCCCTTGTCAGCTTGCAAGTATGAAGAAAAATCACAGGCACTTTACAAAAACCTGTGCTCCAGTTCTTTGCTTTCCTATGTGTATATCAAAGCCCTTTGCAATGTAACTTTTCAGTAACTCTACTTGGAGGTGGAGCCTCTTTCACCATACTTTGATTCTGAGCTGGCCTTGGACTTTCTTTGGTCAACAGACTGTGGTGAAAATGATGAGATGATCACTCCAAACCTAGATCCCAAGGGGGCACTGCAGCTTTCTCCATCTTTTCATACCCTGCCTCTACCATGTGAACCAGCCTGAGACGCCTTTTGAAGGGAGAGAATCACATGAAAGCAAGTCTATTTACCCTACCTGAGGTCATGCTAGATCAGCTTACAGCCAACCAAGCTTCAAACCTGTGAGAGGACTGACCCCAGACCAGCAATGCTTCCTATCTGTATGGTCAGGCCACCCAAGACAGCTGTCCTCTTGTTCTCTGTACATCCCATGCTTGACCAGTCCCTGCTTCACCTACACTGTATTCACATTTCCTCTTACTCATGGAGCCTTATCAGTAAATGCTGACATACTTGCTCTCAGTCACAGATACACATGATGGGATATCACTCCAGGACCTTGCTTCAGACACATAAGATCCCCTTATCCATTCAACCACTGATGTACATCTGTGTTATTGACTCCAGCTCTTTCTTCAGTCTTGAGTCTTGCAGTACTTGCAGGGTGCAGTCCAACACGACCAGACCCACAGCTGATCACTGGCACATGAGTGGCCCCATCCACATCCAGAGAAACCAGCCAACTGACTCACAGTCTCACTGTGCATATTAAACCCTTATAGTTTTCAAGTGATTCATTACTCAGAAATAACTACTGCCTGATATTCATTATTATCATCAAATATGTCTCAAGATTCTAAGGCTTCTGTGAAGGTAAAACAGAAGCTAACACCTTCTGAGCAACTATTATGTGCCAGGGACATGGCTCCATTATGATATCTTGAAAGTGAAACTGTTAGTCATTCAGTCACGTACGACTCTTTGTGACTCCATGTACTGTAGCCTGACAGGCTCCCCTGTCCATGGAATTCTCCAGGCAAGAACACTGGAGAATGGCAACACTAGGTTTCCATTTTCTTCTCCAAGGGATCTTCCTGACCCAGGGATTGAACCCAGGTCTCCTGAATTGCAAGCAGATTCTTTGCTATCTGAGCCACCAGGGAAGCTCAGCTTGCAGGATATCTTGACCACCCTACAAAGCAGGGATCATATTACACTCTTTAGATAGCCAAGGACATTGAGGCTGAGAAAGAAAGAATGATGGACTTGAGCCAATCAGAAGAGGGAGGAATCCAGACAAGACGTCTCTGAGTCCCTGTTGTCCCCCAGACTCCAGATGGGACCATGGGTTCAAGAGACTCACATGCATGATGTCTGTGCTCTTGGTGAAAATCTTCATATAGGGCTTCAGGATGTTGAAGTGGAAGGCAGGCGTCAGCATGCGACGGTGCCTGTTCCACTTGTCACCAGCACTCAGCAGGAGCCCATCCCCTAGCAGAGACAGCCATGGGGATTGAGCAAAGAAAGACCTTCTCCTGGGTCCCCAGGGTCATCCCCAACCTCCTTCACAAACAGTTACTCACCCAGCCAGGGCTTTAGAAAGTCGTAGAAGACCACATCCTTGGGTGCACTGGCAGCTGACATGAATGAGGACCATCAGGGACCAAGGAGAGGGGGAAGGGAGGGTCTTTTGGTCGGGAGCAGAGGCTCCCAGCCAGGAGTCTGCATTCCCTCTCCAAGCCCAACATAGCAGAACGGGACCAAGAGCGCAGGAAGCTGGGAGGGGAGAGGAGACCAGACCAGGCCACAGCACAGCACAAAGCAAAGGCAGAGCCCATAGACACAACTCACGGTTCTTAGACACACCCCAACCTGAGACATGACTGGACATTGCATCTTCTGACCTTACAAAGCACGTTTACGGTGATCTAGGATACCACATCTGCCCCAGCACTGGCCCCTCCTGAGACATCTGACCTGGCTCCATGTCTTAACAAGTCCTAACAGGCCACACCATGAATGGCACAACATGACATGATGCAGAATGCTTTGCCATGGGCCTGAAGACCATCTGACTTGACCTCGGTGTGCCCCAGGCGGACCCCAGACAGGACCTGAATACACTGATGACATGGGCCTCAACCAGGCAGAACTCAGACATAGCCTAAGACCTGCATCAGGCAAGACTCACATAAGGTCTCAGGCATTTTGCAGAGTGGCCCTGGAGTCCCAGGCCTCAGACAAACACCCTCAAGTGACCAGCAGGAGAGCCAGGCAATCTCTAACAGCATCTCAGACAAGAACCAGAGAGGCTCCAAGATGCCTCACATGTCCTTGGCCACAGATGAGCTCTAGACATGACTGAGAATATCTCTGAGCTCAGATTTAAACATATACCAGGTATCACTAGGTATAACATACACCAACTGTAGCCAGAATCTACGTAGAAACGTAAATCTGATCAGACATGGCCATTCAGCAGACATTGCAGAGACATGACTGGAGATCATGCAGCTGGGATTCTGCAGTGGGAAACAGTGGCATCTTTGCTATGCCCCCCTCTGCCTGCATCCTGGTCACTTGTACAACTAGAGGCAACACAGAGACCATGGCAATGGGCAAGCTATGGCCAGGGAGGTGCCTACCTGAAGCAAAGAGCACAGGCTTGATGCAGGTGGGGTGGAAGATGCGGATGATTGGGCGCCAGGGCCCCACCCACCAGCAGCATGCATCCCCATAGGTGCTGGCCAGGCCCTGTGTGTACAGGAGACCTTCCTCTGAGCTCTGAATCTGGAGAGGAACAAGTAGAACCCAATTCACACTCTTCTAGGCTGCCAGAGGGAAGGACCTGCAGGGCATGGATCCAGAGCTGGGACAATGAATCACTTCCAGCAGCTGCTTCTCTGTCCTCAGCCTCCTGCCACCCTCTCTACCCTTATCCTCCATACATGATAATTGAGGTCCCCTGAGTATAAGGATAGGAAGGGTCTTTCCCTGTTTGGATCCCAAACACTGTGTTCCCCTGACTTCTCTTCCATCCCCATATTCCTGATGAGGAGACTGAGGCTCTGAATGATAGAGTCTGTGGCCCACGTTCTCTCAGACAATAAGCCTGAGACACGTGCCCACATCTGTCTGAACCCAGGGTCTGTGTTCTTAACCATCAAATCACTCTGAGCCTCAAGACAACAGCTTAGAGGACCCTTAAACAACCTCCAAGACTGGATACTCAGAGTTTCAGGGATACAGGAATGGGTCCTATGACACAGGCTAGGGAAATCAAAGGAAATCCTGTGTCTTTTCCTGAAAATGTTTTCAATGAGCTCACTTTTCCATGGGGGTTGAGCTTGTTGGATTCAGTGTTACCAAGATGATAGGGAAGCCACCACAGAGGAACAGAGAACTAAACAATGAAAACAGATTTCTTATGATATTATATAGACATGGATAGATCTGGGTCTGAAGATACCCCTCCTTGGACTTCACAGTGACTCGATTCCTTTTCTTTCCATAGATCATACAGGGTGGCATTTCCACCACTAACAGCTGAAGGATACTTCAGCAGCCAGAGAGAGCTGCGGCCCTTCTCATGTTCACTCTGCATTCTCAGGTCTCTGTTACACGCTGCCTGTTCCCCTGCTTACCTGGTCATCTGTCTGTGGATGGGAGGGGCAGGGGACAAGGGAAGAGAGCCAGGGTGGGGTGGAGTCTCATCAGGAAGATTCCTGGCATCTGGAGGAGGGCACTGATCTAGAAGTGGACCAGCTCCAAGACAGGGGGAAAGAAAGTGACCCACCAGAGAGGTGGATGTCATGTGAATAGCAACTCAGATGTACACCAGCCATAAGCCGTCATTGCTCAGCACCTGGGGATATGTGGGGACTGAGGACAGGTCTGGCAGGGGACCCGAGATGTTATGGATGCCCATGCATCACTCCATACTCTGTTTTAAAAAATTTCTGCTCATCATTCTGGACCCAGTTCCAACTCCTCTTCCAGGAAGCCTTCCAGCATCCCTCAGAAGAGAACCTTGATTCTTTTCTGGGTTTGCAGAGCTCATTTCCCTCTGGCCAATTCCTGACCACACCAGGTCACAGATCTATTTCTCTGCCTCAATCTGAATCTTCAAGTCCTGTCTTTTACCCAGGACACCAGGGTGGGGTGTAAATGGCAGTGAGAGCAAGGAGGAGGCTGTGAGATTGGGATGATCAATATATGAAGGAAAGAGGAAGATGGCAAGAGAGGAGGGGAGGGGGTTGGGGTCCTGTATGGGCCACATGGAAGCTTGGCAGGGAGGGGCTGGAAGCCCTGAGGTGTGTCATGGCACCCACCACCACAAGCTCTGCCTGGATACCTGAAGCACTGGCGAAAGTCCGGATGCTGTCAGGGTGGCAGAAAACGACCAGGGGGATGATGGGGCCCATCCACATCAAGTAACCCTGGGGGTAGTTGGTCACCAGCTGAGTTACTTTGCTCAAGCCCTGCTCAATGGGGGGGACCTGTGAGCAAGGTAAGGGCCATCACTCTGCAGAAGGAGAGTCCACTGCAGTGGACAGAGTGTGGGATCCTGCACAGATGGAGGGAATCTCTGCTTCCTCCTTCCCTCTGGGGGAGGAAGGGACCTGGAGGCTTTCTAAGTCCTAAGGGTGTATTCCAGGGCACAGGGAGAAGATAGGCTCTCTGCCCACAGGGAGGAAGATCTTGGCTTGAGAAGACACATTTTTCTTGTCCTGGGAGTGGTCCCAGTGCAAGGGCAATCTAAGAAGGAGGTCCTCAGTGGGCAGCTTTGTGGGTAGCAGGTGACTGGGCTTGGGTCACTGGGCAGGGTCCAACCCTGTCCCATATTTTTCCTGCTCTACCTGGCTTCTGATTTCTTGCATGGCAAGGGTTCTGCAGACCTCTGACCTTATAGCCCTGGCCATCCCCCAGGGACAGACATGAACTCTGCCTGCTAACCCAAGGGGGAACATGATCTATAACCTTCGCTGCTCAGGCTCCGTGCAGAGTGCATCCTGTCTGTTTCTCTGCGAGTTATGGGCATGCCCTTCAATTGTGCCATTTTCAAAAGAAGAAACGGATGCCATATCCCCTCAAAGGGGAAGAAGTGTGGGTTGCCTCCTAGTGAAGCACCCTCTCCCTAACAATGCTCCATTCAAACCTGACAAATACCCGAGGTACTATAGGCAGATGACATAGATCATTTTCACCTTTGTGACTTGCTCCCCTCTCCCAAGGCCCTAAGGTGAGGATTCAAAGCCCAGAGATGGGGCATGGCTCAGCTGAAGTCACACAGAAGAGTGACTGAACCGGTCCCCATGGCCAAGCCCTTGGAGGCAGGGAAGGCCGAACTGGAGAACTTTGTAACATTCCTGCTGCCTCCAGGGCTCGCTGAGACCATCTGAAGATCTGGAACCTCAGCAATCTTCACGGAGAGCTTTGGACACCCTCCGCTGTGAACGTTGCCTTAATGAATAGTAATTGCAATAAGTCCTCCCCCAAGTTGTAGTTCTCATCCCAGGCATGAAAGGAAAAGTTGTCTGCAAGATGGGGGAGCTGAATATAATCCCTCTGACCTTGACTGAGGGAGATGATGGCAAGTTGATCACCTCGGTCATCAAGCATTTGTTTTGAGCGCTTACATCGCTCCAGTCCTGGACTGGGCACAGTAGTGTCTGCTCCCACAAACCAACATCAAATTGGGAGGTGGTTACTAAGTGATTGGATGATTACACGTTTCATTTATCCTGAGTCAGGTAAAGTCATAAGTCACAGTCTGGGGCACAAGCTAGGGAGGTGTGGAGGTGGGGTAGGTTTAAGAAGGCTTCTGAAAGAGGAAGTGAGTAGCTGACTTTATCTAGATTGGGCAACAGGCCTATTGGGACATCTTTGGGGGAGGGATGAGAGTTAAATTAGAGGAAGGGGTCCTGGACAGGGGAGGGGGTTGGCAGCTGTGCTCCTGTAGGTGGGAATGGGGAGGTGGTAGTTATTTCCATTAGGAAAGCTGTGGCTCAGAGCAAGACACACGGATATGGGTCATGTGCAGAGCAGACGCTGGATGGTGAATCTTATCAGGTGCACAATGTGTGGGAGTCAGGCAGGGAATGGACCCCAAAGCAGGCTAGGACTGGAAGGACAGGATGTGGGGAAGGTCTCGATGGCAGAGTAGAGGGATTAATGAGTGAGGGAAGAGGGGGTTCCTTGGCCTCCCTGTCTTCTCCGCTGTCCTAGACCCCAGCCAAAACCTGAGCCCCATTCCTGACCCCTCAGCAAGTCCGTCTACCCTGATTTCCCAGACCCAACCTGCTGCCCACACTCACCAGACCCAGGTGACCAAAGAACCAGTTACGTTTTGGGGGCTGTGGGAAACATCGGAGGCGGCGAGAGTTGTTGTAGGAGGTGAAGGTCCAGGCCAGGACGCAGGCCAGGATCCAGGAGGTCCCGACCAGCAGCAGCAGCAGCCACGGGGAGGCTGCCACCGGCCCGAGTCCCAGCCAGGACAGGCTCAACTCCAGCATCCTGTGGTCAGATGGGATGGAGGGTGAATCCTGAGGATGAAGGAAGAGGCAGTGATGGTGAGTTGTGAGGCAGAGATGGATAGAGGGAGAGGAGCAAGGAAGTGAGGGGCAGGGATGGGGAGTACTGCGGACGGGCAAGAAGGGCTCAGAGACAGGCAGACAGGCGCTGGGAGAGGGGAGGGAGAAACAGAAATTCAGAGGAAGAGGGAGAGACAGAGACAGACAGACACACACACACGTATCCACTCATCTCCTGGGTCATCTCATTCCCTGGAGCCACTCTGCCTTGGGCATCTGCCTTCCCCACCTTGGGCCAGGACCCCCAGCCTCTTACCTTCTGTGTGGGCTGGCTTGTCCCACACAACTTCTTCTGCCCTCCTCCTGGGATGGCTGGGTCTGACCCCAGATCTAGAGGAAGCTGCCAGGGGCCGGGCTAAGCCAGCCAATCCCCACAGCTTTCTTACTTCCTCCCCACCTGGCAGCTGTCTGGATACAGGGTGGGGGGAGGGGGAGCACGGTGTTACCCAGAGCTGCCTGTGAATCAGCTCAGGATTCACTCCCCTGCCCGCTGTGGACACTGGCTCCTCTGGACCCAGTGCCTCCCACAGGAGCAAGTTGTGGTGCAGACAAAGGTGATTCTGGGCCTCCAGGTTCGCAGCAAGCCCTGCACTTCCAAGGCCAGCATGTGGCAGGCAAAAGCACATACAGGAGGGCAGGGCAAAGATCTCTGCAGCTCCTCTCCTCTCATGGGCCAGGAAGCCTTCACACCCCATTTCCAGGCCTGGAATCAGGAAGCTCAGAACCCTTAAAATTCTGGCTTTTGGGGCGCACACAGCCTGGCAGGAGTTCAGGTTGTGTCTCCAAGCAGCCCAGGGTCTGCGGTGAGACGTGACTACTGCAGAACAGAAATAGAGAAACCTGCCTGACTGGGGATTACCTGTATCAGACTCAGAAGATAAAGGGCCCATTTGGAAGAGGGCTCCTGGAGGCTGTGGGGGGCCTAGAGAGAGCAGGGTCCACCCAGGGGAGGGCAGAGCTGGGAGTGCTCTGCCCTGCCCTTGCTCTGACTGTGGGCTATGCATACCCTCTGTGGGCTCAGTCTCCCCATCTGGGAAATGGGATGCTGGATAAGACCCTGAGAGGGGGAGTGAGAAGGGTTCTACAGGAAGATGGTGAGGATCAAGAGCCCCTAAAAAGATGGAATGAAGGAAAAAGGCGAGCTACTACCACTTGTGCTAGTGTATGTTGTGGAACCCTCTGCCAAGGCCACAGGACAAAAAGCTCTGCAAATGACCAAGTCTCATAGCAACCGTTGCTGTGAACCCCAATACCTAAACTGGCCGGTTTCCCGACACCACATTAGGTAAAATACCCACTATAACAACTCACTCCAGCATTCTCGCCTGGGAAATCCATGGACAAGAGAAACCTGGCGGGCTACAGTCCATGGGGTTACAAAGAGTCAGACACAACTGAATACACACGTAGCATCTTAGCGAATCACCTACCCAATGCCACCACTGCAGTAGGAATTTTCTGTTTTGAGGCTGTAACAATTGGTTACTAGCCTGTGAAAGGGTTCGGCTCTCCCTTGAGCCTGCCCGCCGTTCTAAAAGCATCTCCTACTCTAATAAAATACTCTCCTCTCATTCTGCTTCATGTCTGGAAATTCTTTTCCAACCCATACACAGACCACGACATGTGCCAGTAGCCCACATATAGTAAGCCTACTCTGTGCAGACAACTGTATGTAAAGATTGCCTACTCTGTGCTGGGTACCTCAAAAAGCATGCCTACAGAGGGTCAGAAATTCTACATAAAGCATGCCTACTACATGTCAGAAGCTCTACAAAGCATGCCTGCTGTGAGCTTGGTCATCTATGTAAAGCACACCTACTGCGTGCAGGTTGCCCTACATAAATATGCCTACTGTGTGCCACATGCCTTAAATAAAGCATACCTGCTGTGTGTCAACTGCTCTACATAAAATAAACCTACTCTGTGCAAAGTACTTACATAAAGCACATTGACTATGTGGCCTTCCCAGGTGGGTCTAGAGGTAAAGAACTCCCCTGCCAATGCAGGAGACTTATAATACATGAATTCAATCCCTGGACCAGGAAGATCCCCTGAAGGAGGGCATGGCAACCCACTCCAGTATTCTTGCCTGGAGAATCCCATGGACAGGGGAGCCTGGCGGGCTCTGGTCCAAAGGGTCTCAAAGAGTCAGACACAACTGAAGCAACTTAGCACAGACACATGCATATTGACTATATGCTAGATATTCTACATAAAGTGTACTCACTATATGCTGGGTTATTGTTTAGTCACCAAATCATGTCCAACTCTTTTGTGACCCCATGGACTGTAACCCACCAGGGATTTCAGTCCATGGGATTTCCCAGGCAAGAATACTGGAATGGGTTACCATTTCCTTCTCCAGGGAATCTTCCTGACCCAAGAATCGACCAGCATCTCCTGCATTAGTAGGTGGATTCTTTACCACCGAGTCACCTGGGAAGCTCACTACACACTGGGTACTCTAAACAAATCCCATCTATCATATCCAGTGTGTTCTACATAAAGCATGCCTGTTGAATGCCCAACACAATACACAAAGAACATCTACTATGTGCTGGGTGCTCTAAAAGAGTCATGCCTACTATGTGCCAGGTACTGTATATAAAATATTCACTCTGTGAGTCAGGTGCTCCATGCAAAGTACACCTGCTGTGTGCCAGAAGTTCTGTCAACAAGCTAATACATCACCCTTCCCTCAGTGCTCTGGGCCAGCACCCCGGGGTCAGGTAGAGACAAGTGATGGCAAGACCCAAGTGATGACCCAAGTGATGACAAGACCCAAGTACCTATGAATGGAAGAGCAAACTGAGGCTCAAAGAGGGCAAGCCTCTAGCCTGAGTTGCAGAACTGGAAGGAACCCATGTCTGTCATATCACCAGGCCTAAGCCTTTCCCCTCTGATGCTCCACCCTCATTCACAAGGGACAATGACCTGTTAATCCAGGGATACTTATAAAGGTGTAATCTCGGGCAAAATGGTGACCCCAATGGGGAGATACCTTGAGATCATACAGCCATATTCAGGATGCACCACCCAAAGGATCTTCACTGAATGTACCATCTCTTCCTGGCCCTGTGGGGTGGTCTCTGGTGAGAGAGACCTTGATGGATGGGTCACCTGGCAGAGCTACTGATCAGGAAAGTAGTGTGGGGAGGAAGGAGTCCTCCTGACACTGACTGGTAGGATGCTGGGGAAACCCTAAACCTCCTCCCCCAACACTGGCCAGGGGAATCAAGTGGAAGATCTTAAAACTGTCAGTGGGGTGGGGTGCACCCTGCCCCCAGAATATCCTTCCCTTCCATAGATTTCACCTCCCGACAGTTCTATTCACATCAGGGTTAGGCAGGCAAAGCCAGAATATGATAAACCAAGCAGCATCCTGGGACACACAAGAGAAAGAGTCCCCGATGCTCAGAGGAGTCAGCTCACTGCGGACCTACTGTGTGCTGGGAATAGGCAGGCAGCCTAGAGTAGTAATTGTAGCCACCACACCAGCATTTTCCAACGTAAGCCAATGAAGCTGTTTTAAGCCCCTTCCCTGGGTAGGGAAGATCCCCTGGAGAAGGGACTGGCTGCCCACTCCAGTATTCTTGCCTGGAGAATTCCATGGACAGAGGATCTTGGTGGTCTACAGTCCATAGTGTTGTAAAGAGTCGGACACAACTGAGTGACTAACACACACACAAGCATATTAACTTTTTTCATTTTATATAGTTGAGGAAACTGAGATGAGAAAATCATGTGAGTGACTCACACAAAGCCATACAGCTGGTGGGACCACGCTCTGCCCCAGGCGTCACACTGGGTACCCTGAACCACTAAGCTCTGCCTCTTCCGTATCTGTAGGTGGGCATTTCATTAGTACCACTTTCCAAGACGGTGGAAACCACTGAAAGAGGCAACACATGTAAAACACATAGGGTGGAGGAGGGGCTCAATAAAGGAAGTCATTACTGCTGTTGTCATGATTTCTGTCGTAATCATCCGACAGCCCTGCAAGATCAAATTCACTGCCTATTTTTACAGAAGAAGAGATTTCAGAAGGGTGAAGCAACTTGCTCCAGCCCACCAGCAATTTAGGTAAATGAGGCAGGACGGGTGACAGCAAAGCCTGGCACACAGCACGTCCTCATTAAATATCTGGGGAAGAAATGTTTTTGAACTATGGTAGGGTAAATCAGTGAATGCAGAATCCACAGATATAGAAGGCTCCTGGTACTTGTCTTTCTCTAACATTTAGTTTAGCATAATGCCCTCACGTTCCACCCACGTTGTTACAAAGGAGCAAGCTTTCATCTTTCTCATGACTGAATAGTATTCTGATGTTTTCTTCATCCATTGATGGACAGTTAGGCTGTTTCCATATCTTGTCTGTTGTGAATAATGCTGCAGTGAGGATGGGCGTGCAGATATATCTAATAGATACTGATTTCAGTTTTACTGGCTCATATGGTAATTTTATTTTTAAGTTTCTAAAGAATCTCCATACTGTTTTTCATAGGCATACATGTAATTTACAATATCTGTCGCTTAAGTATAAGATTTTCAGTTTCCCCCCACACTCACTGGCACCTGGTACTGTCACTCAGCTTTTCCCCAGCCATTATCACAGGTGTGTAATGATACATTCCTGTGATCTTAGTTTGCATTTCCTAATGACTAATGTTGTTGAGCAGCTTTTCATGTGCCTATTTGTCATCCATATATCTTCTGTGGTAAAGTGCCTATTCAAATCTTTTGCCTGTTTTTAGTTTTAAAGTTTTTTAATTAAATTTTTTATTGGTGTATAGTTGATTTACAATGTTGTGTTTAGTTACAAATGCACACCAAAATGAATCGGTTGTACATATATCCACTCATTTGTAGATTCTTTGCCCAGATAGGCCATTACAGGGTATTGAGTAGAATTCCCTATGCTTGCCCATTAATTTTGAGTCGTTTACCTTTTGATTATTGTATTTTGCATAAAGGTCCTTCATGAGATATGAAATTTGTAAATCTTTATTCTTAGTGTATGGCTTGTCTTGACATTATCTTAAGTTTCACAGAGAAACATTCAGAAATTTTATAATGTCCAATTTTTTTCTTTTTATGATTATACTTATGCTGTGCTGTGCTTAGTCGCTCAGTCATATCCAACTCTTTGCAACCCCGTGGACTGCAGCCTACCTTCCATGGGGATTGTCCAGGCAAGAGTACTGGAGTGGGTTACTAGGCCCTCCTCCAGGTATGATTATGCTTATGGTACTGAATATAAGAACACTTTGTCTAACCTGAGGCCACAAAGATGCCGTTATATATTTTCTTC